GTGCGGCGCTCCCTCAGCGCTGACCCTCCGACAGTGCGGCGCTCCCTAAGAGTGTAAGATTCCCTCACAACAGCAATGGAGTGTTGGCCTATGCTCAGACCTCTGAAATGGCTAAGCCTGTAGTGAGAGTTACAGTCACTTTTACAGTGCCAACTGACAGCAGGATGGTACATGTGAATCATATTCACTATTACCTGTCAGTCATGTTCTCGTCTGAAGCTTTGTGTTCCTCGGTCTGACAGTCCATCACCTTCTTACAAAGGCCGCCCTCCAGGCGAAGGCTGTGCTGGATCGAGCGCCCCTCAGGGCTCAGCCAGGACTCCTCTCCAGCTGCTTTGGACAGACGCTGCTTCTTGTGTTGGCTGGGGGGTTTCAGGGGACACGAGGGAGACTGAGATCCTGGCCTGGGTTCCGACACCTTCAGCTTCTTCTGCAGTGTGGCGCTGACGTCCCCTGCACTGCCTGAGGTCACACGTTTGACCTTGCGTCTTCGCCGGAGTGGCTGGCCGGGGCTATTCTCCGTGAAAGAGTCTGACTCGTGCCAGTTGTGGTACTTGCCCTTCAGCGTGACGTTAAGAGAGGAGAGTCGTTTCACCACAGCCCGGTCATCATCAGAGTCAGTGTCTGCTCCACCAGCGGCCAGCCCCACCTCATCCTGACTGGATTCGGACACCTCGCTGTAGCACCGTGTGTAGTCCAGCGAGTGGTTTGAGTTGGAGCGGCGTTTTCGACCCCTCCGCTTGCGCGACTGGCGTCTCTGCTGCTGCCGGGGGCACAGGCCAGGCCCGTCCCAGATCTCTTCGTCTAGACGGTTCTGCTCAGACGTCTCATCAAGGGCAGACGCCAGGTCATGAGCCAGCTCATCCATAGCATAGGGAATCTGGGAAAGACCAGAGAAGGGAACAGCCATTACATAGCCAGCAATATAAGAACCAATACAACACAGGAGACCATTCACCTCCTGCTGCCTGTACTAGCTCACTAGAAGAGTGAATCCATGAATCCCAGATCTTTACTCTTCCCCAGAGCCATGCCAGACATTCCAATTCCATCCAGAAAATTGCTGTTGAATCAACCTGGAGCTCCCTTTTAGCAGCACATTCCAGATCACAACTCACTGCATCTTCCTTCAACCTGCTCTGCTCCTGCTGTGCGGAGAGCAATCCCAGTTTCCACAGTCTTGTCCCATTCATTGAAGTTCCCTCATCCTCATCCCCATTCTCACAAACAGCCCCACACCATCTCCAAGGCCCTGACACCTTTCCCAGGTTGGAGCCCACCATTTCTGCCCAGATTCTAACTGAGGCCAAACCTGCCATTGATACACATTAATGTAATTTAAATACCTTTACTTTCCATTGACAAAGTCACAGAATATCCTACTTTACCCTGTCAAAATTGTTCAGAATTCTGAACACCTCAGTAAGGTCAGTTCTTAATCTTCTCTGCTCCAAGGAGAATAATCCCAATCTCTCTAATCTTTCCTTTAAAATTCCTCATTCCTGATATCATTCTGGTTAATGTCCTTTATTTGCACTTTCTCCAGGGCTTTAACATCCTTTTATTCCAAATGTGATCTGACCAATGATTTGTAGAGGTGTCACTTCCTTGCTTTATGCTGCTATTTATAAACCTAAAGGGCCCTATAATCCTGTTTAACAACTGTTTCATGTTGCCTGGTCACCTTCAGAGAATCAGGCACATGAACCCCAAGGTCCCTCTGCTCCTGTACTCCCCTCAAAATTGTCCCATTGAGCCAGAAATGTCTATCCACATTTTTTCCACCAAAACACATTCCCTCACATTTCTCTACATTGAAATTCATCTGCCAGCTGTCTACCCACTGGGCCCAACTTCTCCATGACCCTCTGAAGTCACTCAGTATCATTCTCACAATTCGCCATTCTCCCTCGCTTAGGATCATCAGCACATTTAGAGATGTTGCCCCCAACACCCATCTCCAAACTGCTTATATATATATCTGAAAAAGCAAGGGTCCCAACACTGAACACAACCTTCGACTCAACTGCTGTAAACTCAAGATAAAATTAAACAAGATACCTTTCTCTCTTAAGAGAACTTTGGACAGACACATGAACAGGGAGAAAAGGAATACAGACTATGTGCAGGCAAATGGGATTAGTTTAGAATAGCGTCGTGGTTGACACAGACATGGTGGGCCGAAGGGCCTGTTCCTGTGCGGTACTGTTCTATGTTCTAATTGGTCTCCAGCCTGAGAAATGGCCATCTTTCCCAACCTTTTGTATCCTGTCTTTTAGCCACCTTCTAACCCACGCAGCCAAGGAGCCATCAGTCCCAAACATTTCTCATTTGCTAATCAACCTGCCATGTGGCACCATATCAAATGCTTTCTGAAAGTGCAAATATATAACATCCACAGCACCACCCCCATCCGCTGCCTGTGTCACCTCGACAAAGAACTCAATTAAATTTGTCAGACATGACCTGCCCATGACAAAGCTATGGTTACTGGCAAGCATTAACTTGTTTTTCTTGAAGTGTATATTGATCTTTTTATGGCCTCCATCAGTTTTCCTACTATTGATGTCAAGGCATAGGACCATAAAATATAGTAGCAGAATGTGCTCCGCTATTCGTTTATGGCCAATATGTTTCTCAACCCATTGTCCTGCCTTCTCCCTGTAATCCTTGTTCCCCTTACTCATCAGGAACCTATCTACTTCTGTCTTAAATATACTCAATGCCTTGGCCTCCACAGCCCTCTGTGACAATGAGTTCCACAGATTCACCGCCCTCTGGCTGAAGAAATTCCTCCTCATCTCAGTTCTAAATGGTTGTCCCTTCACTCTGAGGCTGTGCCTCTGGGTCCTAATCTCTCTGACTAGTGGAGACATCTTCTCCATGTCCACACTACCCAGGCCTCTCACTATTCTGTACGTTTTAATAAGAACTCCCCCTCAGCCTCCTAAACTCCTTCAAGTACGAATCCAGAGACCTCAACCGCTCCCCCGATATGACAAACGCTTCATTCCTGGGATCGCCTCTGGGCTCCCTCCAATACCAGCACTTTCTTCCTCAGATACGGTACCCAAAACTGCTTAAAATATTCCAAAGTAAGTCTGACCAAAGCCTTATACAGCCTCAACTGTGTATCCCTGCTTTTGTATTCTAGCCCTCTTGAACTGAATGCTAACACTGCATTTTGCCTTCCCAGCTGCCAGCTGAACCTCCTCGGTGGGATCCTGCTAAACTTTTAGAAGATGGCTGTACCAGATCATATGACTCTTTGCGAGCTGTCTAAAGCAGATCTTATTCTTACATCTCATAGTCATTCTGCTGCTATGTCGATCGGAATTACTAACAATGTTCTCTTAAATCTACTTTCAGGTTTAAAGATTCTCTGACCAACAAGGCCAGACCAATGTTGGAACCGCAAGCCCAGAGGGACCAGGGGTCTACTGTCCTCCCGCAAGCATGACTCCTTGTGGAAATCCGGGAACAAGGCCTGACCGGCGTGGGGACAGGGCCTGGCCCCACAATTACCTGACATAGAGGAGGCCCGACCAAACCAACCACAGGAACCCCATGGAACAGTCAGGGCCGTGACTGGTGGCCAGGACCCCGCTGGGAGCACAGACTTACCTCTAGGGTGCAGCAGACTTCCCTCACCGACACCCAGGATTGACTGGGAACAGCCGCCTACCCAGGAAACATGGGAGACACACCAGATGTCAGGTGAGACTGAAACTTCGGGGTTTCAAGTACCCCCCCACTCTCCTCCCCACCATGTTGCTGGCAAATGTCCGAACCATTGAAAACAAATGGATGAACTTAAAGCTCGATTCACCTTGCAAAGGGAATTGAGAGATTGCTGTGTGCTCTGTCTCACAGAGACATGGCTCCCTCCTGCTATACCTGACAGTGCTTTACAACCTGAGGGTTTCTCAGTTCACCGTATGGTCTGGCTGGTGTCCTAGGGCAAGTCAAGGGACGAAGGGCTTTACTTCCTCATCTACACCTCTTGGTGCTCAGACATGGTGATCCTGCTGCTCCCTGGACCTAGAATATCTTACAGTAAAGTGACGTTCCTACTACCTGCTGTGTGAGTTCACCCCTGCCATACTGACAGCGGTCTACATCCCAACCCATGTGGAAGTGAGGGTGCTCTTGACAAAGTATACAATTCGACAGTCCTGGGACAGAATACCCTGAGTCCTTGTTCGTCATAGCCAGTAACTTCAACCAGGCCACCCTCAGAAACATGCTACCAAAATACCATCAACATGTCTGCTGTCCCACCAGAGATCCGAATATCCTTGACCATTGCTGTACGACCAAAGAGGCCATCCGCTCCATTCCCCGTCTGCATTTTGGAAAATCAGATCACAACGCTATGCTCCTCCTCCCGGCTTACAAACAGGAATTGAAGTGTGAGGGCCCAGTACAGAAAGTAGTGCTGTGTTGGTGTGAGGTAATGGAAGGGCTTCTATGGAGCTGCTTAGAGTCCACTTTCATAAACTTAGCAACAAGTCTAAATGAGTATGCCCCTCCTGTTAGTAAATGTGTAGAAGACAGCGTGCGGAAGAAGTTAATCCTAACGTTCCCCAACCAAAAACCCTGCATGAACCAGGAGCTCTGCTCCCTGCTGAAGTGCAGATCTGAGGTGTACAAGTTGAGCAACCCCAGCCTATACAGGAAATCCAGGTACGACATTCACAAAGACATCAGAGACGCCAAGAGGCGATACTAAACTAAGCTTGAGACCCAGGCCAACCACATGGACATTCGCCATTGTGGCAAGGCTTACACGATCTAAGGGACTCCAAGTGAAGTCGAACAGAATCACGGGGAACAAAATCTCTCCCCAATGAACTCAATGTATTCTACGCTCGCTTTGAACAGAAGGTCAGGGAAACAACGTCAACTATCCCAACAGCCTCGGATGCACCTGTACACACGGTCACCGCTGTAGATGTTAGATTGGCCTTCTTGAGAGGGAACCCATGGAAAGTGACTAGTCCCGATGAAATCTCCAGTCGTGCATTCAGATCCTGTGTGGACCAACTGGCGGGAGTATTCACAGACATCTCTAACCTCTCCTTACTACAATCTGAAGTCCCCATGTGCTTCAAGAAGACCACCATCATTCCAGAAGCTAAGAAAAATCATGCAGCGTGCCTCAATGACTACCAATGGGTGGCTCTGTCCTCCACAATTACAAAGTGCTTTGAGAGGTTAGTCATGGCTCACATCAACTCCAGCCTCCCAAACCACCTCAATCCTTTGTAATTCGTCTACCGGCACAACAGATCCACAGCAGACACCATCTCGCTGACCCTACACTCATCCCTGGGACAGCAGAACAGGAGAAACCTTCACAAAAGCAAGTAAAATGCTGGTGAGGCAACTGAAGAGTACCTCCAGGATTGCTTGGACTCGGTGGACTGGGCCATGTTCAATTACTCAGTGGAAAACCAAGACGAGTGTGCCATCACCATCACAGACTTCATTCACGAATGTGGGAAGGACCTTTTTATTCCTCTATTCATTTTGTGGGACATGGGTATCATTGGCTGGTCCAGCATTTCTTGCCCATCCCTAGTTGCCCCTTGAGAAGGTGGGGGTGAGCTGCCTTCTTGAACCGCTGCAGTCCTCCTGCTGTGGGTTGACCCACAATGCCCTTAGGGAGGGAATTCCATGATTTTGACCCAGCGACAGTGAAGGAACGGCGATATATTTCCAAGTCAGGATGGTGGGTGACTTGGAGGGGAACTTGGAGGTAGTGGTGTTCCCATATGTCTGATGCCCTTGTCTTTCTGGATGGAAGTGGCTGTGGGTTTGGAAGGTGCTACCTGAGGATCTTTGGTGAATTTCTGCAGTGCATCTTGTAGATG